GTAATCTACCACGCCCTCTCCCAGAAGGAGGCCAAGGAGCTGGACATCCAGGTAGGTGCTTGGCCGGGGGTCTGGGAGCGACGGGGGATGACTCAGGTGCTCGGTGGCCTCAGAGCCTTTCCGCGTCCCACTCCTCGTCCCCCCAGTCCACGGGGCTCCAGCAGGGCCTGTTGTCCTGACGGCTCTCCCACATGCGAGTCTCCTTTCCCACTGTGTCCTCTCCCACCGTGTGGGGACACTGGGCTGTGTCCACCTGAAACCTGCCCTGGTGGACGCTGCCATTTGACCTGGTCACTGGCTCCCCTGCACCCCCAACAGGGCAGAGAGACCACATTTGTGAGATTTATGGATCCTTCTGTGATCTGCCCATTCGGCAGAAGCTCCCCCATGAGGAGGGAGATACCAGAAATCAAGGTTTTGAGACTGATAGGCCTTTATTTGGCATCTCCATGGAGGGCCACGTAGGTGTTCAAGACAGTCCAGTCATTGTCGGTCCCCTCTCTGAGGGTCCAGGAAGTGGCCTGCCAGAGGCAGGACCTCGGGAGGCAGTGCCACCTGGCCTGGGGGGGTGGGGGTACAGTTTCAGGGCAGTGCTGCTGGAGGCCCCTCCAGAATTACGCACTGTGACGGCTGCTCTGCCCCCTGGCACCTGTGCTCAGTCCGGGTCACATGAGGCTCTGCTGTGTGTCCAGAGAGTGAGCAGGAGGCGGGAGCGGGTGGTGCTGAGATGCCTGACAGTTCCTCCCCGGTGATGCGCCCACAGCCGGAAACCCACGTAAGAGGACTGGACACCCACCGTGAGCAGATCCAGCTCCTGGGCCGGCTGTGCGGCCTCCGGGGTCAGAGGCCTCTCCTTCAGGCCCGAGCTTGGCTCCGCCCTCGCTGGCCTCAGTCACCACTGATTAAATGCCGCCCTCTTCCTCCCCCCAAAGACCAGGGAGTCTGTTCCTCCACACAGAGGTGTGATCTGTCACCAGGGTGGCCTCAGGGACGGGGGCCCTGGTCTGGCCTGGCTGTCTGTGTGACCGCCACGGACTGGGTCAGGATGTGGCTTTCGCACCTGGACAGCGTGGGTGGGGGACAGGCAGCGCCCGGAGGCGGTGTGAGCCTCTGTGGGGGAGGCAGCCTGCCCGCGAGGGCCCAGGGTGACTGTGCCTCGCAGAGCAGTGAGCCCCCTCTGGCTGTCCCCCCAGCGCCCAGGAGCCGAGCGCGCCGAGGCCTTCCTGCAGGCCTTCCTGAGGCGCTGCACGCCCCACATGAGCCAGAGCGCCCGCGAGGACCAGCTGCAGCGCAAGGCCGTGGTGCTGGAGTACTTCACCCGCCGGAGGGGCAGGGAGCCCAGGAGGCGGGCCCGGGGCCTGTCCGCGCGGCAGAGGAGGGCGCTGCGGCTCTTCGACATCAAGCCAGAGCAGCAGAGGTACCCGCCTTCCTGGCCGGTGGAGCCTCCCGCTTCTGCCGCCAGGGGGCAGCCTTCCTTCACCCACCGGGACTGGGTGTGGGTTTGGGTTTGGCTTTTAATAGGGAGGT